AGTAGATGGATTTGAGAAGTATGTTAAAGAAAGAATCCATTTAATTATAGATTGAATGTGGGAGTTGAGGGAAAAGTGTCAAGGATGACTCCCAGGTTCCTGGCTCAAGCAATTGGATGGGTGGAGGTGCCACTTACTAAGATGGGAGTGAGGGATAGAGGAATAGGAGCAGGTGTGGGATTTGGAGGGAAGATCGGAAATCAGGAGTTCAATTTTAGACATGTTAAATTTGAGATGCGAATGAAGCTAAGTATAAATATGTTAAGTAGGCAGGTATGAGTGGAGCTTGAAGTCAGAACTTGAGTTAATAAATTTATGTATTGTCTACTTATTGGTGGTCTTAAAAGTATCTAAATAACATCATATAAGGTAAATTTGATGGGGAAAGAACTGGTTAGCCTATTCCAGTAATTTGAACAAGAATTGGTGATAGTATAAACTAAGATAGTGGCATTGGGACTACAATAGAAAGGGTAGGTTGGAGATTTGAGGACCTGTGGAGCCCATATCTAGTGGCAGTGGACATTAGGAAGGAATGAAAGATAGCTTTGAGATATCAAGTCTGGATGAATGAATGGTCTGTTAGCAGATATAAAATAGACAGGAGGAGCTGGTTTGGGAAAAAGATAGTGTTTAACTTTGCATGTATTGACACTTAGGAGAGGCTGTCTAGCAGGCAGGCAGTTGAATCTATTGCACTGGGTTTTAGAAGAGCAGATGAGGTTTGAAACATAGATTTAGGCTTCATTTTTATAAAATTGATTCACTATGGGAGTGGCAAAATTTAGGAAAATAACAACATCCAAAATCTTTACCATGACCTGTTAGGTCCTCTGAGATATTTATGGTCCTTGCTTATTTCTTTTTTCTTTTTTTTTTTTAATATATCTTTATTGATTTCAGAGAGACGAAAGGAGAGGGAGAGAGAGAGACAGAAACATCAATGATGAGAGAGTCATTGATTGAGCCCGCAGCTTGGGCATGTGCCCTGACCGGGAATTGAACCCCGATCGCCTGGATCCCAGGTCGACGCTCAACCGCTGAGCCACTCCCGGCCGGGCCCTTGCTTGTTTCTTGTTTTCCTTTGTTCACCATGTTAAAGCTGCACTGGCTTTCCTTCTGTTCTTCCAATATACCCAGCTAGTTCCTCCTCCTGGGCTTTTGCACTTGCTATTTTCTCATCTTGACTCTTCTTCCTCTTGGTAGAGGAAATAGGAATTTGGAGAGAAAAATTCAGAAGTTGATGTCTGGGAAGTAGAGAAAACTCCAAGAGATCCTTGCCTAAGGTATGAGTGTGGATGAGTATCTGAAGTGGAAAGTCTATGGGAGCCATTGAAATTGAAATCCTGCCAACACAAAGACACTGTGCCTTAGTATACTGCTGCTTGGTATACCCCAGTTCTAAAATCTGTTGACTGGGAATCAAACCCCGATCACCTGGATCCTAGGTTGACACTCAACCGCTGAGCCACGCCCGGCCGGGCAAAAAATAATCTTTTAAACTTACTACATAGAATTCTGTTGTATAGATGCATCATATTTTATTTAGTCAGTTCCCTACTAATGAACTTCGTTTTTCTCCAGTTTTGCTTATAAATTATGCTATGGTGAACATCCTTACATATGAATTATTATATGCTGCAGGAATTTCTGTGTTAAAGGGTGTGCAATGTTCTGTTTTTTCCTAACTTGAAGTATTTTTATAGTTAAAAGGAATACTTTAAACAGCATTAAAAGACATTTTAATAAAGGGAAAAATAAATTTTTTATTCTTTTACCAGCTGTTTGATTTTGGTTTTTAAGTACATATTCCTAGGTCTCATTAGACCTACCAAGAGAAAACTTGTGGGATAGACAAGGACATATACACAGAAAAATTACAATTCTGGACATTCTATGTTAATTATCAGGTAAGGGATTCTACATAATATTTGTTAACTGACAAGAAAGTAACAATAAATCCTATAGGAATTCAGAGTGAACTAGGGTGATTAGGAAAAGCTTCAAGCAAGATGGAACCTGACCTGGATCTAGAGGGTGATACTCAAATAGGAGGAAGGAAAGCATTCCTGGCTTTCAGAACGGTATGAACAAATTTGAGGAAGACACGGAGGGAAAAAAAAGACATATGGTTGTACATACAAGTTCACAAAAAATAGAGTAATGGGAGAGGATGATGGTTAATGTTATGGTGTAGTGGAGAGGCTTGTATGGGATTAAAGTGATATCCCAGAGTACCAATTTTATTTTTAGGATGTCTGAAGTTGTACAGTATGGATCTCTAAAATAAAGCAGATATATATAGATATGGCCCATTGTAAGCAAACAATACATTAAAGTCTCTGTAAGAAATATAGAAGGTTATTTATTTATATAAGTGAATTATTTAAGTAATAAACTTCCTGGAGACCTTAAAAGTTCTCATCACAACAAAAAAATGTTTTTTGTAACTATGTGTGGTAATGGATGTTAGCTAAACTTATTGTGGTAATCATTTTGCAATATATACATATATCAAATCATATGTTGTACACCTAAAACTAATACAGTATTTTTTTTTTAATCCTCACCTGAGGTTATTTTTTCCATTGCTTTTTCTAAGAGAGTGGAAGGGAGAGAGAGAGAAACACCTACATGAGAGAGACACATTGATTGGTTGCCTCCTGCATGCTCCCTGACCAGGGCTGAGCCTGCAACCAAGGTACATGCCCTTGGCTGGAATCAAATCCAGGACCCTTCAGTCTGCAGGCCAACGCTCTAACCACTGAGCCAAACCAGCTAGGGCAACTCATACAGTATTATATGTCAATTATATGAATTTCCCAATGCTTAAATATTTATTTTAATGTGTAGTTTGACAGACATGATACAACTTTTGTGCATCTCAGTTTCTTCTATAAAATCAAAGGGTTTAGGCAAAGTGGTCACTGAAATACTTTCTGGCATTAAAACTGTTACATAACCTTCCAAGAAAACCTTGCTTTTAAGAAATAAATTGGCCTGTAGTTAGGCTGATACTCACTTCTGGCACTTTAGGTACAATAATGCACCTTCACGTCTGTTGAAACAAAAATCCTCAAGTGGATGATTCTCTCATGGCTTCCTAGGTCTAGATTGATTCACCTTTAAAAACTCAGTTTCATCATTTGTTTCTAAGTGACATTTAGAGATTTTCATTTGAAAGAATTTTATGGCTAAGATTTAACCTCAAGAGGATGCTGTGAGGTTGAGAGGGATTATTATATAATTAATAGTTTTAAGTTATCATGTAAATTACCTGCAGGAATTTATCTCATGGTAGCTTCCTTCTTTTATGTTTAATTCACTCCCATGATGTTTTTAATGTATGGCCAGGCTATGTAAATACATTTTATTATTAGTTCAGCCCAGATACAATTTGAATTATTTGTATCACTTTCACCTCCTTTTGTGTATCCGGATAATTGAGAGCTGACTAGTACTTTTTTAAACTCAGAAACTTTAAAGTACACAATCATATTCAGAGCTAATTAGTGGCATACTTTAAGTATCTCCCTCGTAGTATCACATTGTTTTCACTAAATTGTACTGTCTTTGACCAAATGTTGCCTTTTAGAGAGAACCAAGATAAGGTTGTCATAGGTGACCAGCTGGCTCTTCTTACAGGTCCTCTCAGGATGCTGTTAACTTGATGGGGTCTTCAAGATTCAGGATCCATTCCTTTTTGTAAGAAAACCCCCATTTCTTCATCATCATCAGAGTTGGTCTCATGGAAAAGTAGCTAAGCAAACTGCAAGGGGCTGACAGATAAACCAGAATGTCACTTTATTCATGTACATTGAGGGATGGTCTTTTCTATGACCAAGAAAACATGTTTCTGCTCAGTCCATTCCTCTTCTAGCATTAGGTATTATTAAAAAACTAATAACAGCCCTGTCGGGCTTGGCTCAGCGATTGAGTGTTGACCTAGGATCCAGGCAATCGGGGTTTGATTCCCTGTCAGGGCACATGCCCAGGTGGCGGGCTCGATCCCCAGTTGGGGGCGTGTAGGAGGCGGCCGATCCATGACTCTCTCATCATGGATGTTTCTATCTCTCTATCCTTCTTCTTTCCTCTCCATGAAATCAATAAAGATATATTTAAAAAAAAAATAACAATAGGTAATGTTTACTGAGCACTTACTATGTGTCAAGTACTGCTCTAAGGCATTTTACATGTATTTTACTCATTTAATCTTCACAGTAAGCTTACGGGAAAAGTATTCTTTCTTGTATTTTATAGGTGAGGAGTTAGAGGCACAGAGAGGTTTTTAGTAACTTGCCTGAAATTATACAACTACTGTGTTGGACTAAGCAAAAGATCACTTGGAAAGCATAGAATCTTAGCAAAAGGAAGTCATTTTAACTGGATCATGGTACATTCACTTACCATTTTTTAAACATTTGTTAAGTATCTTATTATTTGCAGGGCACTGCCAGGACACCAGGCTTACAAGGTAATGAATATAACAGTTACGTGCCCTCCTGGGACTCTTAAGTCTAGTGGAAAAGACAAATAATTACAAAAGCAAGAGTTTTACACATTGAGAGTAATGAGGGGGAAACATTTAATTTTACTTGGAGAAATTGGAGTAGATGTTTACAAAGATGAAGGAAAGGCATCCTTGGTAGAGGAAATACTATATGCAAAGATGCCGTGGTAAAAAAACAGCTTACTCTGCAGAATGAAACAAGAAAGTATTGCATTAATAAGGTAATACTGCAGTATACTAATATTCTGAACTGATTAAGCTAGTTGTTGGTTGTGGGGATCAAGAGAAATAAACCCTTTTGGGATGTATTTCTGAGGTAAAATTAGCAAGACATGATGATTAACTAAATTGGGAGGTGGGAAGTGGAGGTGTGGGGGTAGTAGGGAGAGTGGGGAGTTAAGGCTAACTCCAAGGTTTCTAGTTTGAATACTTGGATGAATGGTAGGATTACTGGAAGACAGGTTTTGGGGTGGGAGGGAGATGGGCTTCCATTTTGGACTTGCTGAGTTTGAGATAGCCACAAGATGTCTCATAGCAGGAAGTTTGTGGTACAGAAGAGAGACGCTTGTCCATAGTAACTGACACCATGGAAATTAAAGAAATGGGGGCTGTTGTAGTGATTTGGATTGGCTAGAAGGCAGGACTAAAAGTAGAGAGAGGGCATTCTTCTATTTTCAGTAAATCCATGTTTAAATTTTTAGGTCCTGTTTTTATTTATCTGCTTGTACTGGTAGAAATCTTTTGATGTAAGCCCTTTAGATAACTTATTTATGGTTGTTGTCCTAAAATTCACACAAAAACTGTTGTTATTTTGATTATGGTGGTGGTTACATGTGAATTTCTTCAAAATTTTGTATAATTTTATGCAAAAGGTAAATTTTACTGTTTATAAAAATTGTTTAAAAAATACATTCAGAGTTTTATGCATGCTCTTCTCCTGTAGTCTTTTAACGGGATCTGATGAAAACTTTTCATAATGCTAAAACCTCATTTTAACAAATTCCTCTCAACTTTATCGCCAGTTCTTTGACCAAGCTTACAAATAAGGAAATGGGTGGACTTAACTTTATCTGTTCTCTTCCTACTTAATCTGTTCTCTTTCTACTATTTGAAGACAGGGAGGCAGCATAGGATCCGAAGAGTCTACAAATTGGATAATGAAGACTGTGTCGACTGCAGTCCCCCACCCCCAATAAATTGTGAATGACTTCACTATAGATATCTACAGTATTTACAAAATACCTTTTTAAAAAATAAGTTTTCATCTTCAGTTATGGTAGGAATTGAAATAAAGATCATACTTTCATTCTAGAATAATGAGGATAACGATCATCTTATTGCCAATATAATGTAAAGATATTTTGAATTAGCTAAATTAACATCAGTTATGAAAGTCAAAGTTTATAGGCATGGAATATTTATAGAAGTGATTGGGTTAATTATAAATTGTGTGGAAGTCTCAAGGACATTGGTCATTAAGTTTTTGGTAGTTTTATGCAGCAGTAGACTAAGACACCTCCATTCCTCTACTGGACTGTGCCTTGACTACTGTGTCTTGTATGGATGGAGTACATGCTCATTAAAAACTCATTACATGATTTGACTGAGTAAACTTTTGGGGCAGATATGGGCAGTAATCCATAACTATGCACCTTGGTTACCAAACTATAGCCAATCATGAATCATTATTTTCTCTTATGTCATAGTAGCTTGCCATGTAACATAGGAACCCAACCAAATACTGCTTTAGTTTGTTTTTGACTTATGTGCTAGCTTGGTGTTAAATTGGATATCTTCAGATTTGATTTTTGGATTAATTTCAACTAGTCATTTATTTTTTCCTTCATCCATTGCCACTTAATACCAATCTCAAGTCCAAGAAACAGATTGTGTATCTTGGAAACTGGATTGTATTGAAGGGTGTAATTATTTCATTTTAGTCTGAGGCCCACCTCTTTAATTTTGTGATTGGAATATTTGTTTTTCTTTGATTTATAATTTTTATTTGAAAACTCCTAACCTAAAATTTTTATCTGCAAATCTGTGGAATTCATTCTGGTAGACGGGACATTGAACTTCATTCAGTAGAATTTGCCAGCATCTAGAAGACTTTTTCTTCAGCTGCAATCAGTCTTAAAGAGCCTATTCAAATCATATGCCTACAGGTAAGGATTTCTTTATTAGTATTAGAATTTAGGGACCTCCCATGTTATTTTTTGATAATGTCATAGGCAGGACCCTTGCCAGGTAACCCTTTTATCTGACTTTGTGTCCCATTTGGTTCAGCTTCCCCCTTCCTTTCCCATTTGATGTTATGTGCTCTGAGTCCAGTGTCTGGCATTGGACCCCACTGATTATTTGTGATATAGACAGAACAATGGTTGAGAAGACCACTTCATTTTAAAAGAGATGCTTCTGGCCCCTGGCTGGTAGCTCAGTTGGTTAGAACATCATCCCAATGTTCCAAGGTTGTGGGTAAGTTCTCCAGTTTGGGCACATACAAGAATCAACCAATGAATGCATAAATAAGTAGAATAGCAAATTGATGTTTTACTCTCTTTCCAAAAATAAAAATTAAAATTAAATGAAAGAGATGCTTCTGGCCCTCAACATAGGATTTGCTGTGCTTGGTGGCTTTTATGTGTAGGTGTATATAAGGATCTCCTTGATTCTGAGTGCTTCCTATTGATCCTTAAAATTGTGAGTTTTTTAAATTGATTCCCCTGATAATAGAAGAAACTGGGGGCAGTTTTCTTGAGAGAATTAGTGCTGGGTATGGTTAGTTTACTTGGGTGAGGAGAAGAAAGAATGTATTGGCAATAATCTCATATTGAGTGTTCCTAAATTGTATTTTCCTTCTTTTCTTATAAAATTAAAGGGAGCTTCTGCTGGAAACAAGCGTACCATATTAGATTTCCCTGATTATAAACTTAAATTTTTTTTCATATTTTAGTGTAAGACCAAAGTATAATTTTTTCTTTCTCCCCCCAAAATGTGATAGCATACTGCAACTGAAGATACAATAAATACTTATACAGTTGACTATTGAACAACATGAGAGTTAGGGGCACTGACCCCCGTGTGGTCAAAAATCCATGTATAACTTTTGACTTCCCAAAAACTTAACTATGGTCATCCCTCAGTATCTGTGGGGGATTGGTTCCAGGACCCGCTGTGGGCAGAAACCAAAATCTAAGGATACTCAAATTCCTTACATAGCCCGGCCAGGCGTAGTTCAGCGGTTGAGCATCAATCTAGGATCCAAGAGATCATGGTTTGACTCTCGGTCAGGGCGCACATGCCTGGGTTGCAGGCTCGAGCCCCAGTCAGAGGTGTGCAGGAGGCAGCCAATCAATGACTTTCTCATCATTGATGTTTCTAGCTCTTTCCCTCTCTCTTCCTCTCTCTTCCTCTCTCTGAAATCAATAAAGATATTTTTAAAAAATAATAGTAATAAAATAAAATAAAATAAAATTCCTTATATAAATGGTGTAGAGCAATTCATAGACTTGGCCCTCCACATCCATGGAATCGGGAATAGCAAATTATAGAACAGTAAAATGAGAACTTTTGTCTATATTTATTTTGTTTTTAGAAACTTACGTACTCCCCCCATACATACATACACACTCATACTCACAGATACATATATTTCTGGAATTGCCTGATGTTCACATGGTCCTTTGCAAATACTGTTAAACGAAGATGATAATTTTCAAAGTGGATAGTGTGAATAACTTAATTAACAGTTATTTACTGAGTATCTACTACATGTTAGGCATTATATCAATTATTTAATAAAGAAACACTCTTAAAATACAGCAAGAGTTGCTTCCTATGTACTTTTATTAACACTTATCACTTCTGGAATCATGCAGTATTCCAATTTTAGGGGTAAAAAGCTGAATTAATAGGAATCTTTTGCAAGCGATACAGATAAGGAACTAAATTGACTTTTTACTGTGCTGATAACCATCTCTGGATAAAAGTGGCCAGATTATATGTGGAGGAATTTAGTCATACATGTTGTTAGTATATATCCTGATCTAAGATAGAACTGGGTCTCCTTGGACTTACAGAATCTGCAATGCAAGTTGATCCCCTACTCTCCTTGTGTTTCTTCTCCAAACCCCCCAAATTTATTTTCTATCATCTTCTTTTATAAACATCTGAAGGAAACAACACTTAAATCTTATAAACAGACAAGAACCACATATTTCTGGTATATTTTTGACTGGAGTTTTTCCACTTAATTCATAAAAGACATTTCTCGCCTATTTTTTTCTCTTTTTTTGGTTTAGTCTCAATGGCTCGTCTGCTTGAAGGTTTGTTTATGTCTCTCTGAATCTGGCCATACTGGATGAAGAGTGTATGAAGAGGATAGATGCTCAAAAGTGTGGGGAATCAGGCTATTATGTGGGGAGTATGTATCACCGGAACAACATTTTGTAGGGCAATTTGGCAATATCTATCAAAATAAACAATGCACAGGTTCTTAGGCTTGCTTGAACTTATGTTCAGATATACCTTTTTGCTACATTGCTTGCAGTAGGAAAATCCTGAAAACCACACATCAGTGTAAACTAGAATTCTTTGCAACCTTTAGGAAGAATAAGGTGTATGTGTGCCTACAAGAGAATATGAGATAGAGTTAGTTTGTTGGCACGTGGCCCTTTTTTGGTTTTGTGTGACTTTTGTGTTTCTGAGGATCCAAAAAACTGGTTATCTTTAGGCTTTGGAAGACGGATTTGGTGTCTGGACTTGGGTGTCTATAACTTGAATTATTTATGTTGTATGTATTGCTTTTAGTTTTGAAAAAGCATGTATAAAAAAAAAAAAAGCATGTATGAAGAGAAGCAGATATAATTTTAACAGTATTTCCAAAGGGGCTAGAACTTTAACTCTGGAAGAGACCTTAGAGATTCTTAGACAATTGCCTTCAGTTTAAAGATGAGGAAACTCAGCCCTGGCTGGGTTGCTCAGTTGGTTGGAACATCATCCCATGCACCGAAATGTTGCGGGTTTGATTCCCTCAGGGCACATACCTAGGTTGCAGATTCCATTCCCCAGTTGAGGCGAGTATAGGAGGCAGGAGATTGATGTTTCTCTCACATCAGTGTTTTTCTCTCTCTCTAAAAATCAATAAAAACATATTCTGGGGTGAGGATTAAAAAAAAAGAGAGAGAGAAGAAAGAGAGAAAGAGGGAGAAAATTCTGAAAAGTATCTGCAAAGTTTGGGCTAGAATTCAGGTCCTGAGGACTGCAAAAGCTTATGAATATATTGACTTGTTCTATTCTATTCTAACAGTCTATTTAAATGGTGTCCTTTTCTTGTTTCAAAGAATTGATTTTGGAAGACCCAATAAAATGTTGACCTTCCTAAGATATTCTTTTCTTTCTTTTTTTTTAAACATTTCTTCAAGTCACTACTTCTGACAGTAATGATAAAGTGGTAGTGGTAACTCTTACCCACATTTTGTGACTTTGGAGACTCAATCCCCTAAAAGTAAATTTATGAGTTCTGTAAGTATTTAATATTTGGAGTGAACTTGTGTCTAGAGTCCAAAGCTATCTTTTTTGATTTGAATACCTGACTATTCTAGATTTATAAAATTGATTTTACTGAGTTTTTGTTCATCTAATATCCAGAGGTAAATAGATGGGGAAATACTTTTTGTGACTTCTAACTTGAATTATTATTATTCTAAGTTATTGCTTGCTACTTAAAGGCAAAGTGTTCTGTAAAAGATGGTAGTAAAATTGTTTAAAGGAGGCAAATTTATATATTGAGAATTTCTCAGTTCTTGAAAATATAAGCAGTTCTTCTTTTAACTATAAATCGCGTCTTTTCCTGGCTCTTTAAGGCCAGAAACATTTTCTTTTTGTTCAAACCAAATTATTGGAAAGTCATTCTAAAGAAAGCGGTAGTGGTGATGCTGGTAGTTCAGCATGCGACTGTACATCCAAATTTCATTGAATGAATATTTTTTTATGGTTGATTGACTTTAGGGCTCAAGTAATAGAAACATTAATGTTAAGATTATTTAGTTGTTGGACTTAGGATAAAAATCTACCTTTGCTTTCCCTGGCTGGTGTGGCTCAGTTGGTTGGAGCTTCGTCCAGTACACCAGAAGGTGGTGGGTGCGATTTCTAGTCAGGGCACATACCTAGGTTGTGGTTTGATCCCAGGTGGGGTGCAGGGTGTGTACGGGAGAGAGGGAGGCAGCTGATCGATGTTTCTCTCCCCACCCCTTCCTCTCTCTTTAAAAAGGTCAATAAAAAAAATGAGGATTTGAAAAAAGATAGGTTTTGGGTTGAGCAACTGGGTGCCTCTGCCTCTTAGTGTTTTAGTCATGTTAGATATCTCAAATGAGTATAGTTAAGTAATGATAGAAATTGTATTTTTAAATTCTGTAATCTTGTGGCAAAAGGGAGATAGAGATCTCTAGAGAAACAAAGACACTGATTTCTCAGAAACTCAGACTAGAAAATTATTCTGGCATTTTAGAACAATAGACATTTTATTTTTAAAAATTAATGATGACTAGTACTAAAGCATGGAAATTCATTATAAAAGTATTAGGACATATGATTTGTGCCCAGGGTCCAGTCTTGAAAGTAGATAGGCATGGTCCTGTCAACAATTTGCCCAGGTCTCCATTAATAATCGTGCTTAGAATTCATTAGAACAAAGAGCATATTTTTCAACAGAGTTGCCACTTGAAAATGGAATTGGAATTGGAAGCTGGGGTATATGAATGTGTCTTCTATCAGATATTTTTCCAATTCCTACATGTTGAATGAAAGACTGTACCTGGTCTAAGAATCACCTGGTCACATGAATTATAAAATATTGGATTAGGAGTTGAAAGACTTAAGTTCTGAACTGAAACCCCTTAATAGCTGGGTGACCGTGACAGATTGTAACCTCTGAGCTTCTGTTTCCTTATTTGTAAAATACTTGCCCTGCATGCCACACAGAGAGAGCTGTTTTAAATCCCAAATAAGATCAGGAATGTCAAAGTACTTTGAAGACTGAAGCACTGAATACTGCTTTTGAGAAAATGCTTATATAGCTTAAAACATTCAACAAAAAGGACCTTGGAAGTTTTTTTTAAAAAGATGACCAGGGGAATGAAGTGGGGGTGTATGGGATGAACCTCTA